CAGAGATGTGTATAAGAGACAGGTACTGACGCGTCCGTCCGACTCGTTTCCCACTACTTCACTGTAATTGAGTCAAGTTTAGTCAACAGCAAATGGATCATTACATCATCCCAAGCGTCAACAGGCCTTTGCATTGCCTTAAGGGCTCTATAGAGGTGTGCGAATCGAGCATTTTATGGTCGAATCGAATCGAATCGAATTTTTGATAACACGTTCGAAATCGAATCGAATCGAATCTGAAATTTTCACGTCAAATTGAATCGAATCGAATCACTTTAGTTCGAATTCGAATCGAATCTGAATCAAATTTTCTCAAATTTATATTACGTGTTAATTTAAACATAATAAATATTAAAATTTATTATTTATATTATTTTACCCAACAATTTACGAAACAAACCGAAGACCTATTTTCAATTTACATTCATTACGAAGGATCGTGATCTTATGTGACATTTTGAACTTGAAAATATGTAATTAATAATATGTGTACATAAGAACAGTTAGAATGCTCTCGAGTATTTTTTAAATCTATATGGATATATTATACATATGGATACGTACATCAGAACATAGTTATATAAGAATAATTACAATTTTTATTTTGTTAAATATAATATTTTTACATTGTAATTATTGACAAATCAAAGATCATAATCAGATCAAGACAAATCATAAATCTTTACATAAATATGTCAATAAATAAAGCAATTAAAATAAGTAATAATCACAGTTACATTGCATTGTTTTAAAAAAACTACTGACTATTCTGTCAACTTAACTTAAAATTAATATTGTTTATTCTGTTAAACTTATAATTTCAGACATTGAATTATAGCTTGAAAGATTACTGTTCGTATTGCACAAAAAAATTGTATGATAATATTTCAAACAAAAACTGTACAACTAAAAAATGAATAATTCAAGAACTACTGTATAAACAGTACAAAATAAACATAACAATTATATTTTCAAGTAAAATTAGGAAATATCTGCATAGAATTGCATATATATTACTTTCTTTAAAACTTAGGAATTTTCAAATTATCATGACAAAATATGACTTTTCTGACATGTTCAGATAAGAGAGTTGTCCTTTTAGACGTTACTATGTTTCCATCGACTGAAAATACTCGTTCACTCTCTGTTTCTGTTGCTGCCAAAGCAAGGTAATGACGAGCAAGAGAAGCCAATGTTGGAAATGCGTTTTGATTAATCTTCCACCAATTTAATGGATCTTCGTTACTATCGACAATTGGTTGAGTCAAATAATCATCAATCTAAAATGATTAAAAATAAGTGAAAAATTATATATATGTGTATAATATATATATATATATATAATATATAAATATTATAACTGTATACATATGTACATATACATACACACACAACATATATGTATATATACATATCAATGCTATTAATAAAAAAACATTTTTCTTAGAGTCGATAATATTACATAGTATATTTATTACGTTATATTTTACATTTACCTGCTTCTTGATTAAATCATATCCGTCTTGTTGTACAATGACCTTGGATTGAGTTTTTTTTTTTAAATGACTCCATTTGTCCTTATTATTATTCGGTAATTCCAAACTCAATGACGTGTTTATTTGACTTGTATTTGTTTCCACGAGATCGTTTAAAATGTGCTGCTTCCATTTGTCTAATGCTTTTCTTTGTAGAAGATGGACAGCATTAATTTCATTGCCGCACAGTACATCCTTGAATCTAGGATCCAGCAACATGGCAAGCTGATACAGTTCCGATTTTTTGTAATTTTTGTCCGAAAATCTTGATTGAATGTTAGCCAATAATTTTCTAGCAAACATAATGCCTGTGCCTTTCGGAGCCTTTTTAATAAATTCTTCCAACGATGATATTATTTCAAAAAGAACGGGCAATACCATAGAGAGAGTAGGTTTTGTTCTACTTCCCATGTCTTGTAAAAGTAGCCACTGGCCTTAGCATTTCACATATCCTTCAATTAACTTCCATTCCTGGACAGTGAGTGAATCTATTCCAGCTTTACTCTGTTTACTAATTATCGCAGCTTTTTGCTCAACAAATCTTTGCAACATAATGAATTCACTATCCCATCTTGTTTCTACCATTTGCAAAAGCTCATGTTTAGGTAAATTATGTTCAGATTGGAAAAACTGAAGACTTTCTCTAGCAGGTCTGCTTTTATTGTATCTACCCACCATACTCGATACCTTCTCGATTACGCTTGAAGCTCCCACATCTTTCCTAGTATCAGATATTGCCAACTGGAGAGTATGATTGTAGCATCTTATATGGTGCCAAGACTTTTCTCTTATAACAGAAAGAAATTCAAGGGTAGATTCTTCGGTTGATTCTTGAATCTTAAGTTCAGATTCAGATAAAGCTCGCACCATGTTTGCTCCATTGTCTGATACAATATATTTAGAAATATGTCCATCATTTAAATTCAAATCTTCCAAAACTTCATGTATTTTCTGATAGATTGCAATTGCGTTATGTGAACCAGGAAAAGGCTTACAATCTGCTGTAAAATGTTTCATATTAAAATTTTCGTCAATATACTGAAGAGTGAAAGCAATATAAGTGTCTTTGGCACGTGAACTCCACAGATCTGTCGTAATTGAGACTGATTCAATATGTGTTATAGCACTATGAAAATCGTTAAAAATTTCATCTCGTAAAGTCATGTATAGATCAGGAATAATGGTGCGCGAAAATGTACTTCTACAGGGAATTTTATACCGCGGTTCGAGGATATGTAATAAATATTTGAATCCCTCTTCTTCAACTACACTAAAAGGCTGCAATCCTTTGCAAATAAATAGGGCAATGGCTTTTGTTATATCTTTGGCACGCTTGTTGGATGAATCAAAATACGTATTTTTAAATAATGGTTTGAGTGATTCTTTAGAATTTTTAAGTAGATTAGTTTTCGATCTTTCTTCATTAGTTTTCTTCCGCTTTATATTATTCTCTTTTAAAGATGTTAGTCGTAGATATTCTTGATGAGCACTTAAATGTTTCTTAAGGTGATTTTTTAAAGTTGTAGTAGTACCGGTTGGCGTACTTCTTTTTGTACCACATGTGTTACATGTTGCATTATCTTTTTCAATTCGGGTGAAAAAGTTCCAAATTATAGCACTCGATGAAGAGATCTTCTGAAAATCACTTTCAGAAATTGTTTCAGTCTCTGTACTGTTTTTTACAATTTCATTATTTTCGCAGACTGACGATCCTGCTTCTAAAGGAAAATAATTCTGTATATCATTTTTTTTAATCGGAATAGAATCATTTGAACTACAGCTGCTACTGAAATCTAAATGTTGACGTTTTTTATCCGTGTGTAAAAAGAACAGAGAAGAATTCGCTTCCTGGCTGTAGTCGCTATCATGTGATTCCATAATTAATCTGTAAATTTAATATAAAATGTCCTCAATATATGATAAATATACAGTATACCCAACTCGCAACTTCGCAATTTTTTAAACGTACAAATCATGTATATATTTTCGAAATGTATTATGTATTTTATGTAAGAGATGCAACAAAAATTGTTATGTTGTACTTTTTAATAAACATAATTGAAAATAACATAAAAGCGATAGTAAGAAATAAGAAATTAAACAAAGCACAAAGATGATCGTAACTTTCCCAACTGTTTCTAACAAAATTCGTAAATCGTAGTCGTAGGTCACATAATTTTACGTAAACGTATATATGTCACTCGTATCGTTGTGACGTCAGAGACGATTGATACGACATGTTTACGTAAAATTATTGTGTTAACTTATACAGTTATGACTTACGTTTCTGTCTGTGTTTACGTATTCTGTCGGAAACAGTTCTGACAATTTTTCTGCGTCAGTTCTATTTGTCGTAACATTTATATAGTCATAAACAATTATATTAAAAAAAAAAAAAATCGTCGTAAACATTGTATATTTACAAAACATTGGAAATGTATTCACTTTAACAATGATATAATAATCAGTTTATATTTGCAACTTACCTTGAATAATATAATTATATCTTAATTTTCTGTTGAATATATAATTTGTGAGCTTTTCTTTATTCAATAAAAATGGCTTAAAGGAAATCTAAATGCGACTCGGCAATTTCTATATATTTATCTCCACGGTTAGGTTTGTTGACAAAGAGCACACACGTGAAAACATGTGAGATAAGAACATATATCAGTATAAACGTATAAAGACAATAAGAGTCTGATGATAATCGATGATATTACACAGATGACATGCCGATTACAAAGGAGTGCACGCACGAGATTGATCAGATTGGTACAGTAAAGAGCAAAAATTAACTTTTTGGTGTAGATAGGAGAAAGCAAGGTTATTGCACGATGACCAACCCATGGATGGCGCGCTCGTCTGCACCTATC